CATGACAGCCATTAATCGGAACAGAACATGCAGGATTAGAGCCTCACCTGGATTTGCGTATTAGGGGCAAATCCAGCAGGTAACGTCTGGGTTTTTGGTTGAATCTGTGTCGAAGCGGTCAGAGACGATGCCGTTGCAGACGACTGTGACAGATCTCTGGAGCCGGCATTTTCACTTGTCGAGCGCATCCTGAAATCTGATCATACGGAACTCTATCAATCAATAAACCGGAATAGAATAAAAGAAAAATCAAACAAAAACCGAATCTTCATGCAAACCGGCCCAATAACACTACGAAGCATTGAACCGCTCATCGAAAACAACGCATGGAAATGGATAGAAAATGGCAATTGACGTCCGAAATGGCCGACAAAACATGGCGCGGCGAATACGCGGCTTTGCGCTAGTTGAAGAGAAAAAGACGAGGACTTTCTAAGGTCATTCGAGAAAAAAGGACACGAAAAACCATCGTCTACCGGTTTCTATTAGTTGTTACCAAAGAAAATCTCAAGTTGGATACGTAACGGTTCTGTCTATAGGTTTTTACCCAACACATCTATTCCAAGGAACCAGTAGAGAGGCCTTGAAATTTCGGCGTACCTAAAAAGAGTTGACCCTGGTTGAAGACGGCCGATATTTAAGATACAACTCATTTTCCGGGTTTATTCCTTGATGCAGAAAGACTTAAAGAGGCAAAAAACCGAGATTAATCACCGAGTATGAGAAGGATTTTATTGCAAATCCTCTCATTTACTGTCATAAAATAGAACCAATAAGTGCAGTGCACGGCTCATCCCAGAGCTCCGCCCACAATCAGAGTAACAGACTTTACCGAATTTTTTTTGCCAAAATAAAATAATAATTCTATTTTGCATTTGATGGTCCCTCAAGAAATCCCCTGAACTATCCTCCAACTTTGCGAGAATGCCCCAGTCCAAGAGATTCTCCAAAATCCCCCATATTATCCCACTTGCCGGATTTGCCGGATAGGGTACTCCCAGGTAGAAAAACTAACCTAACTAGTACCTCTATATCTATCGATATCGCCCAGGTCATGAACAGAAACCGGTTAACTCTGACGTCGATCGTACAAATCAATGAATGTTACTGCCATTTTGGTAATCTCTCCGAGAGAAAAAGGTCGTGATTACTATGTTGTAGCGACAATTGGAGAGGACTAACCCTTGCAGCGACTGCGACGTACTCCCATGGCCAGTCCGTCGTGGTAACGATCCACTACTTCGGTTCTGATATTGCATGGCTAGTGAGTGAGTGTTGCGATCAAGTTCCAGAGCTGAACTATCTGCGGGACTCTCGCATACTGGGAACACCGTTCGGGGACCACTGAAATGGTACTATTTATCGATCGAATCGATTTTGATCTGAAAGCAGATAAAGAAATAGAGCCGCAAAAAGAAAAAAAAACCAGACAAAGGACATTTTTTATCTCGAAAACCGTTGAAAACGTGGAAGCTCTTACGATTGCACCTCAGGGAATTACATCAAGGATCAACAATTCAAGTTCCGGACTTGAAAAGGTAGGTTCAAATTCAAATAGTCAGACTTGGGTTCTCCACCCAACCTTCTCTTTTTCCAAGTGCATGGAAATGAAGAAAAATAAAAATCAATTACGGAACAGTTGTACTCATCCTATAAATGGCCTACCGCATTTTTGTTCGTAAATTTTTTTAATAAGAAGTTTATACCTGATAAATTTTGCTTTTTGAAATCCTGTATAAGCAAAGGCTTAAATTGGATTTTAAATTTTTTTTTAGTTTTCAAAAAATTAAAGTGACAAAGACCTTTTTCTAGGAAACATCCCTTATTTGAATTTTAATCATAACCTGAATGGTATTAAAACATGCAATTCGCCTATACACCAAATCGTGAGCCTCATTACGATGTAAAATTAAAAATGATAACTTTTTGGGTTACAACCGCTGCTACCGTAAACCGGTCCCGAAGTGAAGGGCTTGATAAGTCTGAACGAAACCGAACTTGGGTTGTGACTATGTGAGGAGGGCGTGCCAGTTACTTAGCACTGGCCTATTTCCTCCCTCATTTTACCTCTGACTGGTACGTTCTGAGATTACTCAATAACTGCTCATAACGGAAATAAAACAAAAAAAAANNAAAAAAAAAAGAATTCTGTGTCATTTCTACCGTATCCATCACAATTGGTGGAAACGGCTTCGGCAAAAGCAAACAGAAATGAAAGTGAGAACCATTTTTTCACTAGAGTAGTGACAAACAGCGTCGTTACAACCACCGTGGCCCAGTGAAGAAGTCCCAGATTGAATTTCACCAAATTTACATGCTTCAAGAGAAGCGCAGCTCAAATCAAATTTGTAATAGAGGGCAAGTCTCCGAGAAAAACTTTTCAGGATACTTGCCCTCTCACGCAAATTTGATTTGAAGTGATTGGCTCCCTTACTAATTGTCTAGGCATGTGAACGCATTCAACACCCCCCTCCCCTTAAATTTCTAAATAGAATTTGGAATGAAAGTGTAGTTGGGGGAGGGAGCTAGGCACAGTTCCTTTCAACATGAATCGCTGAGGTAGCCGACTTCGCAAGCCGACAATGGGGCTTTTACAAACACAACAAACTTTATTTCTCGGCTGAGGAACGATCATTTCTCAGCCGAGAAATAAAGTTTGTTTGGGCTAAGCCTTAGTAGGGAAGGAGCTCCTGGGTGGGTGAGCCAACTGCGCGATACTACCCCCATCCCAACATCTTACGCGAAGTAATCATCTCATCCACCCGGCGCTCCTTACCCTTCTAAGACTGGTGAAAACTACACCCCTCCTTAACTGCGCTCTGACTCTGCGCTCGATGTTAGAAAAGAGCGATGCCTTCCGAAGCAAAACTTCCCCTAAGTCAAGGGGAAATTGTTAAAATCCATTTTCTCCTCGGAAACCCATAAGGACCACTCAAAAACGGAATTAGGTTGTTACCTGGATATGATTTCAGCACCATTTACTCGGGCAAATGTTTTCGATAGTAACGAATCACTTGAGTTTTTCTCTCCATTAGCTATCGTTATCATCGTCACGTCACCATTTACAACCGAACGAGTGGAATTTCTGGAAGAATAATTTTTAATGAAATAAAACAAAAAAGGAAAAAAGGAACAGCTTGTGGAGTCAGAAGCAAATTTGCTTAACCGCATGATGGGTGGATGATGCCTGCAAAAAGTAGGTGCCCCACTTAAGCTGCTCGCCACCGACTAGCCCTTCCCCCTTCGTCTCATCCCTTCTCCATTGACTTAAAGTTGTTGATACTTTCCCTTGGGTAGCCTAAACCAGAATGAAGAAGCCACTGGGACGGCTTACCCAACGAGTGCCAGAATCCGGTCGATAACTCGCTTGTTGTACCCTCGTCCAATTGCACGCAATACATCGATGTGAAGCAGAAGGGCAGACGGCCACGCTTCACCAACACCTTAAAGAGGAGGCCGAAGATGTGCGAAATATTTTTCATAAAAATTAAAAAAACGCATAAAATGTAAACTGTTATACTACTCAGACTGCAGTTCTAATTACCGACCGTAACAGTAACCTTAGGGTTGAAAAGAGATTCGAGTGATCGGCTGAAAAGTGGGCCAACCTGTGGATGACGATACGGTGAGATACCCATTTCAAATGAGTCCATTCTTGAGCGCCTACTTGGGACAACTGACTGGGCAGAGTAACTTTCTGGGATCGATCGCTCGGGATGGATCAGATAGATCATCGATCATGGTCGAAGGGAGATTGCGTTGGTGAGAAAATCGGGGGCTCTGCGGAGGAAGAACATTCTAAGGACGGTACGTCCCTTAAGCACAACGAGTCTCTCGGTTATTTACGAAAATGTTTATGTAAACAGGCACGGCTATTAGGAACACTATGTGATCTCCGGCAATTTGGGTAAGTCAATGACCTAATTGCCGCGTAATTGCCGAAGTTTTGAGAAATCGTGGTTCTCTAGGAGATCGAGTTGAACCCATGGCTCAGAGAAATAAAAATCCATTTCCGATGCGCCACACACTTACCCTCCGCTCGATATCAGGAAAAACCAGGTTCCCATACTACCCCGGGCACAGAATTTCTCGCTCTACGGTTTGTGCAAATCAGCCAATTTGTTTTCTCATAAAACCTGGGTCCAATCAAGCGATTCGGAGGGCTTGGGAAGATTCAATCCAAAATTTCGTCGGTGAAAAGTGCATCAGCGCGAAATTGGCCGCTGCCTCAAGCAAATATTGCTGTTGCCAACCAATTTTTCGAAATAGATTACGGAAAACCTTGAAAGGCTTGGCAAATATATTGACGGAGACATTGTCACCACTAAATAGGTTTGACAGAAGGTCTTTCCTTCTTCCTTGTCTTCTAGAAGTACCTGCTATGAATTCAGTCTCTCAAAAAGTTGGAGAACGATGAGGAGCAAGAACATAGAGAACTTGTAGCTGAATATTCGCGAGAGTAGATCGAGTTGGAACTCCAGAGCACCAAACAGTCAGGCAAGATTTGCAATAACCCAGATTACGAGAAGACCATTGATTAGTGGGTGGGATCTCCGATGCCATTACCAGTCATGATGGCGTCTTGAAAAGGGTCATCATGGAGAAAATGAGTATGACCATCAGGAGGAGGAAGGGATATTGGGCTACCGCAGAGAAGGAACCTACTGGAAGGCAATGCAAAAATCAGACTTGTATTCAGCTAGGCGCGTTCACCACCACTTACGTAGGAGAGCGAGGAGAAGTGACACCTGATCGGTTATTTTTGGGAAAACAAGGAACATCACGGAAGAGAGGAGGGTCTGGAATAGTCTCCGTTCCTACTAGGAATGCATCTCCCAATGAGAATCCAGCTCTGATGTTCGACAACTTTTTCTGAAGAGGACCATCAATTATGCGTTAAAGCGACGTTCTTGTGACTCTTAGGAAAAGACGGCCCTGAATCAGAGGTCCAAAAAATGTCGTGAAGACTTGAATATGCTTGCTACACGAAAAATTCTAGAGCCTGGAAATAAGCGAACCTGTAAAATAAGTCAACCTAAGTTGCCCTAGATACACCAGACCCTTCTCGTTGACTTATGGCTGTCTATTTCAAGCTTTAAGAGAGACTACTAGCCGAAGTTTCACTTTGACGGTGCGACCGAATACACGAGGTCTTCCCACAACTAAAAATCCCCGAGTTAGTTAGGGTTCATCG